CATCCACAATTAAATTGTCAAACATCGTAAAACATCCACAATTAAATTGTCAAACATTGTCAAACATCCACAATTAAATTCTCAAACATTGTAAAACATCCACAATGAAATTGTCCAAAATTGTAAAACATCAATTTCCAAATCCCAATACTTCAAAGTCATCATACAGATGTCACCTAAACCTAACCTAACTCCAACGTCCAACCAAAATTAACATCCTCCCCGTAACAAAACTTTCTTCATCCCCCCCCTAAAATCCCAAAACACGACAACGATAAAAACCGAAGAAAATCCCCGTTCGTCAAGCAAGTTTATCCACAATTACGTGGATGGAAAAGGCGGGATTCTTCTGTGACGTATAAAATGTATTCGTAGCGCTGGTTAGACACGTTTACACGAACCACAGAAGATTCCCCAGATAGTTGGCGATCGGCCAAAGGCAACGAGAGGTAAAAGTCAGTGTTTTTTCTTGGTCGGATCATCGCAGAAACAGAGAATCCGCAAATCGGAATCCAGGATTGTTCCTTTTGTCTTGGCTATGTTTAGACATCGCCGCGTATCGCCCGCCATAATTCACGATAGTTTTCATTAAAATAATCCCTACGTTCCCATCTAAATGTCTACACAATTTGCATTCTTCTCGGCGAAGATTTGCACGGGAAAATTGCGTCTCCGAAGTGAGTCGTTCTCTTTCCCCCTGCGTCATTTGCATGGCGAATGTTTGTTTGATCTTATTACCCGGCTAATTCGAGCGTTTCACTTCGTTAGCCTTCTGCAGTGATTACAAATAGCTACGGTTCTGGAAATCGCGTATATTAAATTAGACGATGTTTGGTTTTATACCGCAACAGCTGTTGATCCGATTCATCCTCTGGACGCGATATGCTGGATTTAAAAGGGAGATTTATGTTGCTCTAAATAAGATCATTATTCCGTGGACGGGTACAAAGTATACCACCTAACTTTGTCACCATCAATTACTTTATCACGCTGTTGTATCTTCTCCGGCAATGTCTCGCGGGAAAGTTTGTGGCGGGAAATTCAAACGCGGTTTGAGGTTATGTCTTCGCTGTTTATATAATATATATCTACTCGCGTGGATTTCGTTCTATCTCGTTTTGTTGTAAAATTGGACTTTGAAGAATTAGATTTGGAAATCTTTAAACAGGGTGTTCTACTTTCAAGGGTACGATAATTTTTTATTTATAAGTTGAGTCTCTTATATTTCTAAAATTATTCAACTTCGAAATTTTCTACTACGTTGTAAAAAATTGAATACTTCTAAATTTTCCTCGCATTGAAATTACCGATTCCTTATTGACTGATTTTGAATTCGACAAACTCATACAATATTCAGACCGAACGAATAAAAAACCGATGAAACTAAAAATGTTCATTGATTTGCAAATCTAAAATGCGGTGTGGTAAGAAACTCGGCAAAAAATAATAAAAATGTTTTCCTCTGGAACGAGATAATTAATGAAGAATGCAGAAAGCGGATTAAACGCATTAAATCCTCCCGTTCTTTTTTTTTATTAACTCATTGATACAGCATTGTGCAACGTGTAATAATTTTTCTATCAGATCGTTCTTGGAGGAAGCTTAGCGATTTATAACGAAATGTCATTCGAGATTATGCAAAGTCGCGAATTAATGGCTACGGTGTTACAAAAGATACTGGAAACGATTATTTTCCCTTTCGATGCAGTTACCTATGTTTAATATGCAGATAAGTTATGTAATTGAATGTATATACTGCATGTATTCATTGCAGCGACTACTTTGAGCTGTTAATCAATATTTCCGAATACGATTTGAATACGTACTTGATTACGGGTAGTCGTTATATCGGTTAATAAATATTGCTGGTGATTTCTTGTTATGTACTTGTTATTTAGATTCTGTGAAATGGAATATTATTGTGAGGTTATGTTACGTTTTATTAGGTTATGTTCAATTAGATCTGGTTTAGTTAGATTAGGTTCAATTAGACTAAATTTCACATAAGTTAGGTTCAATTAGACTTACTTTAGTTAGGTTAGGTTCAATTAGACTCAAAGTAGTTAGGTTAGATTCAATTAGACTTACTTCTGTTAGGATAGGTTCAATTAGAATCACTTTAGTTAAGTTAGGTTCAATTAGACTTACTTTAGTTAGGTTAGGTTCAATTAGACTCAAAGTAGTTAGGTTAGATTCAATTAGACTCAATGCAGTTAGGTTAGGTTCAATTAGACTCACTTTAGTAAGGTTAGGTTCAATTAGACTCAATGTAGTTAGGTTAGATTCAATTAAACTTACTTTTGTTGGGTTAGGTCCAATTAGACTTACTTCTGTTAGGTTAGTTTCAATTAGACTTATTTCTGTTAGGTTAGGTTCAATTAAACTCAATGTAGTCAGGTTAGATTCGATTAGACTTACTTCTGTTAGGTTAGGTTCAATCAGACTTATTTCTGTTAGGTTAGGTTCAATTAAACTCAATGTAGTCAGGTTAGATTCAATTAGACTCTCTTTAGTTAGGTTAGGTTGAATTAGGCTAATTCTAGTTTATAATTAGTTACTCATTGATGTCTCAAGTCTTTATTTCTTTTTCTGTCTCGTTTTTAAAATTGAACCCCTACTTTTTCCTAACCATGCATAATAAAAGACAATTTATTAATTCATATAATGTTTTGTTAGTCAAATACAGGTAGAATAAATTGAAACTTCTTGTACATATCAAAAAGCAACACACTTAAGCCTTCTCGTCATCCTTGTCTATAACATTATTTATTGCTTGGTTAACCTCAAACGTATAATAAAAAATTAATTTATAATGCTTCATTTTAAAATTCATGCACACATGTTCATGTACAAATGTACTTTAAAATCAATACTCTTACACTCTTTCTCTCTGAATTCGTGAACTTGTACAAGCAGGGTCAACCGGGCTTCCGGAAGAGCACGTAAACTGCGGGCATAAAGGCGAGTCCGTGACAGGCGACACAGTGAACATAATAAAAGTTAGTCCACACATTCAACGTGACTGGGGACGTTTGTTAATCGTTCTCCAAAAGGCGCCAGTCAACCGAGGTTACGTACCGTGAGTCAAGATCTCCTGCTTCCGACCTTGGCCAGCTGGTTTCTCTGTTCCGCATTCTAAAAATATTTACCGCGCGAGGATAGTTAATCGTGATAGACCCTGATTCACCGATCCTATTTCATCCTCTTCCGCTACTGTAACCCCGAAGTCCCTACACGTCCGATCGCTTCGACAAAACCTTACACGTTTCACAATTTCACGCTTTGGTCAGCGCTTTGATCAGATTTTCTTCTGATCGGAGGACTGTTCTTTCATTCGATAGGCAAGTACTTTCTTTCATGATTTTTTTTTTATTTTTTTTACTACTTACTTTTGGTGGTGACAAGGTGATTGACAGATGAAGGGATTCTATTTTAATTTTGTATATATAATGTTCTGATAAATTTTACGAATGTGGACATCTCGTGTTTTGATATATGTTAAGAATGTGGACATCTACTGTTCTGATAAATATTAACGTGGACATCTAATGTATTGTCAAATATTATGGATGACATCCGATGTTTTGATAAATACGAGAAAATTGTACATCTAATATTTTAATAAATAGGAAGAATTCATGCACCTAAAATTTTAATAAATTTTACCAACGTGGACATCGAATATCTTCTTAAATATTAGAAACTTGTGTATCTAATAATTTAATAAATATTACAAATGCACACATCTAATATTACAAATGTACATCAGTAATTTCCCAGCTTCCCTAGCAGTAATTTCCACTACCAGCACTCAGCTTCCGAGTCGATAAAACGCGAACGAACGTCGTTTACGAACCGGCAAGATTTACGACCGCGCTATATCTCCGTCCCTACTCTACGCTATATTTACAGCTCCTCGAATTTAAAGTTTATTTGAAGTTTCGAGCATCTCGTTTCCGTCAGAGTGGCCGTTTTTACGCCAAGGTTCGCAAATTGTGCACGAATGTTTACTCTCCGAAGAGTTACAACCGAATGAAATGATAAAAGGTGCGAGGATTACAGCGATGTACAACAATTTCTTAAAATTCAATGACTCACACTCGCCTTGATTCTTCGCTAACATGCAATTTCAATGTAACGCGCAGGAAGTGTAATTATAGTCCTTCTACGGAGTTTGCGATTTTTTTTCCTGATTTCAAACCGAAATCGTTTCTCGCGTACGTACACAGAGGCGTGCATAATAACATGATAACTACTTTCGTAACTCGGGACGCGTGAATTATTAATTACTGGGTTAGCGGCGATGCGTATGAAAGTGTAACATACGCGGTGTGTGGGGCTTTTTAGAAAAATCGAGAAAGAAGACGCGAGAGAGATTCGGTGATCGAGTTACGATTCAACTCTAGGTATATTGCCGAATCGAGGGTGCATTTAGTCTTGAGGTCTTCTGACTCAGTATCGGAAATATTCTATGTTATACGTGGTCTGGTGCAAAAGTTTATTTATTTTTTTCATTTCAATGGATAGTAAATTTATTTAGTTTATTTAGGTTATTTGCTTCATCCAGTTTATTTAGTTTATTTAGTTTATTTAGTTTATTTAGTTTATTTAGTTTATTTAGGTTATTTGCTTTATCCTGTAAATTTAGTTTATTCAGTTGATTCAGTTTGTCCAGTATGTTCAGTTCGTTCAGTTCGTACAATTTTTCCACCTTCTCCACTTTGTTCAATTTATACAGTCTTATCAATTTGACCAGTTTGTTCAATTCATCCAATTTGTCCAGTTTGTCAAGTTTGTTAACTGTGATCAGTTTGCTCAATTTGCCAAAGTTGTCCTATTTGACTAGCTTGTATAGTTTGTTCAATTTAATCAATTTAGCCAGTGTGTTCATTTTATCCAATTTTCCTAATTTGTTTAGTTTCTTATCTTTGATCAGTTTGAACAGTTTGAACAGTTTGTTCAAATTATTCAGTTTGTTCAATTTTTTAAGTTTGTTCAGTTTATTGAGTCTGTTCAGTCTGTTCAGTTCGTTCAGTCTGTTCAATTTGTTCAGTTTGTTCAGTTTGTTCAGTCTGTCCAGTTTTTCCAGTTTTTCCAGTTTGTTCAGTTTGTTCAGTTTGTTCAGTCTGCTCAGTTTGTTCAGTTTGTTCAGTTTGTTCAATTTGTTCAGTTTGTTCAGTTTGTTCAGTTTGTTCAGTTTGTTCAGTTTGTTCAGTTTGTTCAGTTTGTTCAGTTTGTTCAGTTTGTTCAGTTTGTTCAGTTTGTTCAGTTTGTACAATTTTTTTAGTTTGTTCAGTTTCTTCAAATTCTCCATTCTCTTCAGCAAAGTTTATTTATTCGAAGACGTACTTTTTTATACAATGATGATGCTATCGCGATTTCACAATTGATGTGAAAATAATGTTGGAAGAGAAGGTTAAATGTTATCCGATTATCGAGTACGCCAACAACATATTACACATTCATGCATGAATGTTGCTAAATGAAACACTATACACGGTAGTTCCTTTCTTCTCGTGACGAGGGAAGAGAAAATTTGGAAAGTTGAGAGTTCCCAAGAATTAGTATCTTTACCGACTCACGAGCATTTTTAAACTTTCTAAATATAAAATATGCGTCGTCTAAAACAAAATATTCAACGTGGAAAACTTTAGAAGAAATGCTAACATGTTTTATTCACGAGTCACTGTTTCACTATCGATTCGTTCTTTTATCAAATAATTTCTTTGGATGCTGCATTAATTATTTTATATCAATATTTATAACTATTTTATAGTATTAAAGCAATTACAAGTAATAATAATATTTATTTTATTATTCTATGACAACTATTTATCTTGCAATTAAAAATTATTATATATTACATATCAGTGTTTGTTTTATTATTTTGCAAATCAAAGTTAGGCTAAAAATTAAACATGAAATAATAACATATCCCATATTTAATCATATACATAAATCTATATTTATCCTACTATCTAAATAAATATTTAATCACATCCTCGAACAATATTCTTCATCTCCATCCTCAGAAAAATAAGTCACTTCACAATGTTCCATCCAAACTCAACAGGTGATTCATTAAAATAAGCACAGATGCTTTCTTATTTTCCAGTCCATTTTTCCTATCATCCAAGCGACTGTTCATGGAATATTTTTTTCATCCACAATTTACGTCAGTTTTCATTGTAACACAATCAGTATACTCGTTTTCTGCCACAACTAAGTAAACACAAGTAGCAGTCCTGTTGTCGACATAAACGTCGCTCGACTTTCGCGAACTGCAAACGTGTCTTCTGCTGCACTGGCGAGATTACATTGAAAGTAGCTCCGTAAGCGGTAAGTGGCCACTTTCAATTGTAACGGCAGAAATCTCGCACAACTTTCCATTTCAATCCGGGATATTGTTCGGTAGGAGCTTCTTGCGCCTCCATCTTGCCCTCAAACGTCAGTGGTTCCCAACAATTTGAAATACCACAATTGTGGCCTCGATTACGGTCATCTAACTTTAATGGCTGTAGGCACGTGTGAAGGGGTCTTTCAAATCTTTGTGTTGTGTAATGTTCAAGTTTGCGGATTTGTAGATTGTGGAAGATGTCAAGTTTCAAATTTTACGTGTTTGCAAATTGTCTAATTCCATCTGTGGATTCTTCAGTCCCCAAATTGTCAATTTCCGACTTTCCAAATTCCTAAATTCTCCAATCCCTCTACTCTCAAATCCCAAATTCTCAAATCCCCCTACTCTCAAATCCCCCTACCCTCAAATTCCCAATTCTCACATTCCCCAATTCCAACATTCCCCAATTCCCACATTTCCCAATTCCACATACCCAATTCCCACATTCCCCAATTCCACATTCCCCAATTCCATATTCCCCTCAATTTCACATTCCCCAATTTCCATATTCCCCAATTCCCACATTCCCCAATTTCCATATTCCCCAATTCCCACATTCCCCAATTCCACATTCCCCAATTCCCACATTCCCAATTCCCACATTTCCCAATTACTATATTCCCCCATTCCCAAATTCCCCAATTCCCAATTCCCCAATTCCCACATTCCCCAATTCCACATTCCCCCATTCCCACATTCCCCAATTCCCACATTCCCCAATTCCTAAATCTCCAAACCTCTAAATCCTAAATTTCTCAAATCCCAAATCCTCCAAACCCAATTCCCACATTTCCCAATTACTATATTCCCCCATTCCCAAATTCCCCAATTCCCACATTCCTCAATCCCACATTCCCCAATTCCACATTCTCCAATTCCCACTTTCCCCAATTCCCACATTCCCAAATTCCCACATTCCCCAATTCCTACATTCCCCCATTCCCACATTCCCCAATTCCCACATTCCCCAATTCCCACATTCCTCGATTCCCACATT